CGCAGCGCCGCCAGGCCCACCGCGTACGAGGCACTGCCCCACACCACGCACAGGCCGCCCAGCAGGAAGAAGCCTGCGGGAGAGGCAGGGTAGCGACAGGGCCAAGGTCGGGGGACGAAAAGGTGTCGGGGGACGAAAAGGTATCGGGGGTGTGGGGGATGGTCTGGGAGCAAAGCCAGGGTTGAGGAGACAGGAACAGAGGCAGGGCCGTGCCAGGGGCTGGACTGCATCTTTGAGAATCAGATCGGAGGGGAGGGGACCATAGCCATGTCCTGGGCCACCCATTCAGATGGGCCCATGGGAGGGGTGTCTTCCTGGTGAGGGAAGAATGGGGGTTCTGTGCTTACTACTGGGAGTGGGATGGGGTGGGAAAGTCTACCCTCACCAGGACAGGTGGTAGGGGCTCTGGATTCCCTGGTTCCCTGGTGGAGGTAAGAGTGGGGATCTGTACTCACCATATGCTGCTTCCCGACCCATGTCACTCTGCATGAAGGAGATGACTCCAATGCCCGATGCCAGGAGGCCATTTCGGAACCAGGAGAGAAAGGCTGGAGGGAGGGAGACATGGGGGGATTAACATCACCCCCAACCCTACCTCCTCAATCTCCCTTGCCCAGTGAAACTGAAGGGGCTCCCTTCAGCTCACTCCACCCCGTGCAGCCACAAGGCAAGCCCACCCCAAATCCTCACCTCTTCCAGGAAGTCCCTCACCTAACCACATCCCCCCACATGCTCTCTGGCCTCCACCTCAGTGCCCCTCTCCCCCAAACTCTGTAACACTAAGGATTCAAGGGCCGGGTGCGGTGGCTCACGCCTGTAGTTCCAGCACTTTGGGAGGCCAAGGCAGGTAGATCATGAGGTCAGGAGTTTGAGACTAGCCTGGCCAACATAGTCAAACCCCGTCTCTACTAAAAATACTAAAATTAGCAGGGTGTGGTGGCACGTGCCTGTAGTCCCAGCTATTCCGGAAGCTGAGGGAGGAGAATCACTTGAATCCAGGAGGCGGAGCTTGCAGTGAGCCAAGATCTTGCCACGGCACTCCAGCCTGGGTGACAGAGCGAGACTCCGTCTCAAAAAAATAAATAAAGGATTCAAGATAGTCCCTGCAGAATGTGGAGGACAATCCAGGGGCAAAATTGCAGAACCTCCAATCTGAAGAGCCATCCTGACCAACCCCCTCCCTCTATGTATATCCCCACGGCCTGCCTACTCACTTCTTTCTCAGAACTCTGGGACAAACTGTTTCCTAACCCAGGCCGCACTTCAGCCTCGCCCTTCCTTTCCTTCAAATGCCGCCATCTCCTACCGAGTATGGCCTGCGCCAATCCCATCCACGTCCGTCCCCATTCAAGTCCCTTACAAACAGCCCACCACACCCTATATCTAGATACCCAGTACCGGCCCAGTGAGGTGGCTCACGCCTGTAATCCCAGCACTTTGGGAAGCCAAGGCAGGATTGTATGAGCCCAAGAGTTCAGACCAGCCTGGGCAACAAAGCGAGACCCCGTCTCTGCATAAATTAAAATAGTTGGTCAGGGTGGTGTATGCCTGTAGCGCCAGCTAAGCAGGAGGCTGAGGCAAGAGGATGACTTGAGTCCAGGAGTTCAAGGCTGCAGTGGGCTAAAATTGTGCCACTGCACTCAAGCCTGGGTGACAGAGCAAAACATTGTCATTAAAAAAATAAAATTGGCCGGGCGC